TTCATTTTCATTTTCATTTTCATTTTCATTTTCATTTTTTTTGGCTGCTGCTGCTGCTGCCGAGTATTACCGGTACCTTACTTCGCGTCGCAAGCTCGACGCATCATCGCGTATCCGAGGCGTTGTCACATTGCTTAAAAGGGGTTTCAAAATCGCCTACAGCGTACCCTACCTAGGCGTAGAGAGCCAGTCACGAGAGGGTCTTTCGAGAGCAGCCTTACTCACTCTCACTCACTCACTCACTCACTCACTCACTCGCCGGCACTCGATTTTTGATGGATGAAGGGGGCGTGGGAAGAATTCCGAAGAGGAGAAGAAGAAAAAAAATCTCTATACGACTCTCCTGCTTGTATTTCCGTGTGCGTCAGGTCCCTTTTCTGGTATTCGTAGAGTCGCCAAGAGGTGAGGCGAGTGAGGAATGGCTGGCTTGCCTAGGTAGCTATCTATCTATCTATTCATTCACCTTCGGAGAGCTCTGAAGAATGAAAAAAAAGAAGGGAGGGAGGGGGGACAGCCGGCTACATCCGCGAAGCAGGATTTCCCTTCTCAGCTCTAGAACCCTCATTCACCTATGCGTTCGTTCGTCACCAAGCTCTTTAGCCGTTTAAAAGCAAGAAAGACTCGCGGATCAGCTTTGCTACCGTATCACTATCAACTCCGTGCCATCATGGATGGTACTACTAGCTGACAACTGACTGAAGAAAACCGCTTAGCGATGAGCGAGGATCAGCGGCCCGCTGGCGATCTGTAGATTCCGGAGTTTCTCAGTCATGCCGCTCCGTGACTTATCTATCTATCTTCTCTTGCTTGCCGTTTACGTCCCAGCCGGCTCTGGCAATGGGGAGTGAGCTCTGAAGCCGGTGTTTAGGCAGGTTAGGTTGCCTTGGTTCAGCAGGGAAGTCACTGCTAGCAGAGACTTGAGAGGACTGCCGATGATTCCTCCCGGCCTTAGATTTCCGATATGGAGAGGTGCGCAGAATGTTAAAAAAAAGGGGGGGGTTAAAAAAGGAAAAACGCTAGATTGGATGGATATATACAGCACACAGACCTCGAGAACACCTCTCCGATCCGAAGACCCTAGTAGCGTTCCAGACCTCGAAGCAAAAGATTCGAGATTTGGGATCTTCGAGTCGGAGGAGATTGACTTCGGGGGGAGGAAAGGAGGAGTATAGGTACGCTGGCTGGGGAGCATAGGGCAGATAGAGATGCCTGACCGGTGGATAACTACCGTCGGAGTCGGTTCGGAAGATGGTTCCAGCGTGGGTACGCTCTGCACCGCGGACAGTTCGGCGAGAGGGAAGGGGGGCAGCGAGCGGTGTTTGCGAATGGCGGCAGTAACAGCAGCAGTAAGAGGAACAGGAACAGGGACAGGAACAGGGGCAAAAATTTGAAAAAAAAAATAAGGAGAAAAAAAGAAGAAAAAAAGAAGAAAAAAAGAAGAAAGAAAGAAGAAGAAGAA